TAAATGCAAATAAATTATAGTAATAACAATTAAGCTTCATTTAAATTTCATACTTAGTAGTATTTGATATATAATTGAATTTCTTCTTGTTTAAAAAGAAAATGTATAAAATTGAATGAAAGGTTAAAGAAATATTTTTTAGAAAATATTTTAACTTTACTTAAATTTCTCGATATTTAGTCTCATTCTATCTTATAAACATGGTATGCAAGGTTAAAGAAATATTACTTTAATAAAAAACTATATTATATTTTGTTTGAATTTTAAATTTTCAATGTTAGCTGCACAAATTTAGTCTTACCTAAAATTTAGAGTTACTTCTAAAGTTGATTTAAAAATAAAATCTTTCGTATGACGAAGTATTGATAAATGTTGGATTTAAAAAAACTTATAAAAATAAAATATAACTAGGTAGTCATTCAAAAAATGTTTAAAAAATAATTAGAAATCTCCGAATATCTAAACCGAATTAAATGGAACCGAACCGTCCCGAATATCAAACCAAACCGAACCGAACCGAACCGTGACATCAAAATTTTCAAACTGAACCGAACCGAACTGAATTTTTAGTACTGTTCTGGAGATCAAATTTTTGTGATCTCCAAATTTTGGTACGGTTCCAGAGATTTATCTATCTCCGAACCGTACCGACCCATGTGATGCATCTATAACATACATTATGTCATTATTTAATTATTTATGGCTTTTTTTATTAGGGACTCATTTTTCATATATTTTTCTTCGAATTGTAATATGTTATTTAAATCTTTTTATGTTACGACATCATTCTGTTATTCTTGAAAAAAATAATACATTAGAAGTTTATTTGTTCGTCATTTTATTTTGTTCCTACAATCATATGTTTAATAAATTAATTAATTTACCTTACTAAACTTAATCGGCCAAAAACATTTGTCACCACGTGCATCGCACGTTCACTTTACTAGTAAAGTTGAAATAGGGTTAAGAGTTAATTTATAATTAACATATTCACAAGTACATGGTATTTGCACCGACCAAGTGAGGAATTAAATTTGGTAAACAAAAAAAAAAAAAAA